TTGCACTCTGAGAAAGAAGATGCACTCATGGTACTGGCCACTCTAAGAAAGAAGGTCAACTCATCGGCACTGGAGCTTTCAAAGAAGATCACTCATGTAATGCACTCTGAGAAAGAAGATCACTCATGTACTGCACTCCAAAGAAGGTCACGCATAGACTGGACTCCGAAGAAGGTCACTCACAGACTGGACTCCGAGGAAGGTCACTCATGTACTGCACTCCGAGGAAGGTCACTCATGGACTGGACTTCAAAGAAGATCACTCATGTACTGCACTCTGAGAAAGAAGATCACTCATGATACTGCAAGCTTCTGAGAAAGAAAGATGCACTCATGTACTGCACGTTCGTGCAAGAACGAAAGTCACTCATGGACTGGACTCCAAAGAAGGTCAGTCATGGACCTGGACGTTGCAAAGAAGATCACTCCATGTAGCTGGCACTCTGAAAAGAAGATGCCAATCATGGACGCACGTGTGAGAAAGAAGAATCACTCATGTACTGCACTCTGGAAGTCATGATGACACGGCAAAGAGGTCAACTCATAGACTGACTCCAAAGAAGTCACTGCCATGGACTGGACTCCAAAAGAAGGTCAATCATGGACTGGATCAAAAAGATCATGTTACTGCACTCTGAGAAAGAAGATCACTCATGGACTGCACTCTGAGAAAGAAGATCACTCATGTACTGCACTCTGAGAAAGAAGGTCACTCATGGACTGGACTTCAAAGAAGATCACTCATGTACTGCACTCTGAGAAAGAAGATCACTCATGTACTGCACTCTGAGAAAGAAGATCACTCATGTACTGCACTCTGAGAAAGAAGGTCACTCATGGACTGGACTCCAAAGAAGGTCAGTCATGGACTGGACTTCAAAGACAGATCACTCAATGTAACTGCACTCTGAGAAAGAGATCACTCATGATTCTGCACTCTGAGAAAGAAGGTCACCTCATGTACTGCACTCCAAGGAAGGTCACTCATGGACTGGACTCCAAAGAAGGTCACTCATGGACTGGACTCCAAAGAAGGTCACTCATGGACTGGACTTCAAAGAAGATCACTCATGTACTGCACTCTGAGAAAGAAGATCACTCATGGACTGCCTTGAGAAAGAAGATCACTCATGTACTGCACTCTGAGAAAGAAGGTCACTCATGGACTGGACTTCAAAGAAAGATCACTCTGCTGACTCGGAAACACTGCATGAGACCGGAGAAGAAGTCACTCAATGTACTGCCCTCTGAGAAAAGAAGATCATGTAGCACTCGAGCAAGGTTCATGACTGGACTTCTGAAAGAAGATCGACTTCATGGTAATGCCACTGCTGAGAAAAGAAGAATCACTCATGGACTGCACTCTTGAGAAGACAGATCACTCATGTACTGCACTCCTGAGAAAGAAGGTCACGTCATGGACTGACTCTCAAAGAAGGTCACTCAATGGACGACTTCCAAAGAAGGCTCACTCATTGGACTGGACTTCAAGAAGATCACTCAGTACGCACTCTGAGAAAAGAAGATCAGCTTCATGGACTGCACTCTGAAAAAAAGCATCCACTCATGTACTGCACTCTGAGAAAAGAAGGTCACTCAGGACTGGACTTTCAAAGAAGATCAACTTCATTGTACTGCACTCGAGAAAGAAGATCACATCATGTACTGCAACTCTGAGAAAAGAAGATCAACTCATGTACTGCAACTCTGAGAAAGAAGGTCACTCATGACTGGACTCCGCCAAAGAAAGGTCAGTCATTGGACTGGGCCCCGCCTGATGCTAATAAAGTTTATCTCAGTTAGATCCAAATTAAGTTAAAAATAACTTACACTGACGAAATTTTCGTCCATCTCTCCGATAGACTTCCTCAGGTCTGATGTTTCCAGGTAGATGGCAGCACTGGAAACGGAAGTTCGAACCTGCATCTCCAGTCCGCGGTCCTCTCGAGCAGGTGCAGTTCTGAGGATGTTGTCATATATGTGGGATAGGTGGTACGACCCCTCATCTCTATTCATTGTGTAGCAGAGCTACGTGCGCGCGGCTAAGAATAGTTACACAGATACTATCAGAGCGATGACATCAGTGCTGAAACTTGAATGCCATTAATAGCCACATCGTGACCGCTTGGGTTTCTAACTGCGTAGTAAAGGCATGGCCCAATCACCAGCCAGCCTTTCGGCCATGTGACCCTGGTTTGATATCAAGTTCGATATAAAATCTATTCACAGCTGGGCTCAGAATCGTATCATCACCAGCATTCAGAACTATCAAACTTCGAGCGCTAGAAGCATCATCAGCGTCAACGTCGTCAGCAGCAACAGCAGTGGCAGAGCAACAGCATTAGCATCAGCGTCAGCGTAGCCATCGTCAACGTCGACTGCAATACCATCAACAGCAGCAGCAGCCCATCGCCATAGGAACTTACCATAGAGACTATAGAACGCGTAGGAACACGCTGAATCTATTCTTAGCGAAGAATTAGCAAAGAATGACCTCGCGGCAGCGGCAGCGTAGCAGCGCAGCAGCCAGCGCTTATACATCGAAGCATGGACGCCGTTCTCATGTAAGTACAACACTCACTGAATTGTGCCCAGCAATCCCTTACCATTAACGTAATGTAATTGAATAATAGTAATTTTTAATATCGAGTAAGCCGTCATGCAACCTATTGCCTAATCCTACCCCGCTATGGAGCCCACCACTACTGCCGTCCATCACCCTGAATCTCCAATGACACACAGTGAGGTTGAAGCGAAACTAAACAGCGAAGATCCGATGCCGGAATTTCAACAAAAGTTGAAAGAGGAAAAGAAAACGGAGGACGAGGAATTTTCGAATTCACATGGCTTCGCACGCGGACTCCAACCAGAGCGCATCACCGGTGCAACCGAGTCCAGTGGAGAGCTTATGTTTTTGATGAAGTGGAAAGGCAGCAATGGGGTAAATTTGGTCCCAGCCTGACAAGCAAATATTAAGTGCCCCCAGATTGTAATCAAATTCTACGAGGAGAGAGTAACCTGGCTCACGAATAATGAAGATGAAAGCGATGTGTAATTGCGATCATCACCGCAACAGTAAGCAAGCCGTATGGCAAGTCAAGGTGTGGCGATCAAGCCACCATTGCAATCACGCTACTATCAGATTCTACCGTATGCGCAGCCGCCACCAAAGTGAATGCAGATTCAACCAGCGATGTGGAGGCAGTCTACACGCCCTGCCTACCAAAATAGCACAGCGAGGCAGCCACAGAGACAGCAGCCATTCAAACAGTTTGAAAAGATAAATATTCTCTCAATAGCCCTATCTTGTAGGCAGTCCTTTATCTGTGTGTAACAGTTATATATTAAAAAAAGACGAGACGTACAACATGCAAGTGTACAGCCACAAGCCTTGACATGGAAGAAGATTTATTGTAGGATACGGACGGTGAACAAGATTCGCAACCGTCCAGGAAAAGAAAGGTAGACGGGAATAAGTCAGATTCCCCAGTAGAGGCAGTTAAAAAGAGAAAGATTAACTGCGCAAATATAAATGTTATAACCACGGCAGTGTAGCGAGCAGTGCTAACTGCACAGGGAGAGATAAACGTTATAACAACGGCAGTGTAGCGAGTAGAGCTAACTGCACAGGGAGACAACGACGGCTCTAACAAAGACGCATTTGATTGCGCCCACTGTACAGAAGCCACTAGGATACGCCGCAGCAAGGCAGGGCCAGAGTTAAAAAAACCCTGGTGAGTGCATCGATGAGACGTTGAGAGATCCTTTGTATCTCCTTCCATTGTGTCCGTGCCCCTTCTTTACAATGACACCCTTTTCGTGAAGGCTTGAATTTGTCACTATGCGTAAGATTAGTGCTGAGCGCGCGAGTGAGTGTTGTACAAGCATGCAATATCGGGCATCAAGTCGGTATTGAATAACACAATAATCACTAGTTATGATTCCGCCGCTTCTCCGCTGTAGCCGGTTCTCTGCGAATATATATTGCTTCTCTGATCTGTCTGCAGATCAGAAACGATCCTTTCTAGACACAAAGATTGTGAGCAGAGAAGATGGAACGTTAAAAACCATGGTCTACAGGAAGAAGACCCATACCAATCAGTATCTGAACTTTCAATCTCACCACCGGATAACTCACAAACTGGGAGTCGTCCGCACACTACTAGATAGAGCTAACACCGTTGTAACAGAACCGGAAGACATACGCGCCGAGGAACAAGAGATTCGACACGCACTTCGAAATTGCGGCTAGCCTAACTGGACATTCGAAGACACAAAACAGAAAATAGAAACAAAGGCGTCCAACAACAAATTGAAAAAGAAGGAGAACGACCAGAAAACAAAAAATAGGGGGTTGGTCATCATTCCTTACATCAAGGGCATGTCCGAGAGGTTAGCCCGCACCTTAAGGACATTCAACATCTCTTCAGCATTTAAACCCCATAAGACCATCAGGAATATCCTAGTACATCCAAAAGACAAAATAGAAAACAAAAATACAACAGGCTGTGTACCGTATCGCTTGCTCGAATTGTGATAGCGTGTACCTTGGGGAAACGGGCAGGAAATTTGGAACATGTTTAAAAGAACACATGACTGATGTCAACACTCATACAAAAGGAACCAGCAAACGTGCGACTCGTGCGGCCACTTCAGGACAACAGCATAAGTCAGCCATAACATAACAGATGGTTGACCAAAACCATCTGCCAATCTGGAAAGAGGCCAATGTGATGTCAAAAGAATCGTTTCCGAGACGCAGACAGATCAGAGAAGCAATATATATTCGCAGAGAACTGGCTACAATGAATAGAGATGAGGGGTCGTACCACCTATCCCACATATATGACAACATCCTCAGAACTGCACCTGCTCGAGAGGACCGCAGACTGGGGGCCGACCAAAAGTGACCAGGTTCGAACGTCCGTTTCCAGTGCTGCCATCTACCTGGAAACATCAGATCTGAGGAAGTCTATCGGAAAGATGGATGAAAATTTTGTCAGTGTAAGTTATTTTTAACTTAATTTGGATCTAACTGGGATAAACTTTATTAGCATGTGAACTATAAAGATCCAATCAAATATCATACTACTTATGCAAAGCCTAATTTCTATTGAATATAATATTAGCCTTAAGTAGATTAATCTTACTAATTTACTTTAAAAAAACAACCAGAAATGAATAAAAACTTTGTGTTTTTGTTTTTATGCACCCCCGATCCCACGAGCATGGTTATCACCATAATAGCTGTTCACAGACGAAGCCTCCATCGAAAGCCAATGATTGCTGAACGCATGAAATGGCTGCGGACAATCGATGTACTGATTACGGACATAAAGATCTGGCCTGACGGATGCGATGGCTACAGATGCTGGACACAGTCACTACAACTTATTACACGCAATTCCTTAAGACATCGCATACAACACGACCGAAGACCATGATTCGTAGGATGATCCGATGACAATTGGATCATAACGCTGCCGGATGAGATCTGTTAGGCGCTAGTGTTTATGACCATGTGTCGTCTGCCTGGCAGGCTGCTGTATGCCTTGACCTCAATAATATGCGACTAAAATAGAAAAAATGCAATAGTGAGAGACACAACGATCTAGAACATCACAGCAAAGTATGCCACCCCCCCCTCACACCTCACCTGCGCCACGATACCACACTGCATCATTCCCATAGCGTCAGATAAACAACTTAACGTGTACCAGCCCAAGTCACATGCAAATTAGAGCAACGCTACAAGTGCACACATAGACAAGGGCGGCACCTAAGTTTTTCAATAGAAATGTTAGAAACTTACCACCTATTATGCGAACCGAATTACTGACATGTTAACCAATACGGTTACAGTTATAAGCTCATGGAGCTACAGCTTTTATACTTACAGTCTCATTGGCAGCATGTCGGACCAGTTCTACTCTGATACCTGGGGTATTCATCATGTCACGCATCACGTGCCTGACGATATTGTTATTCTCACTTACATCTGCAGTAGTAACATGGAAACCATATACTAGTCACCAGTCATCCCATGCTGTTATAAAGAGGGTACATCTGCTCGCATGTCTAGAAGTGATCCAGTATGTGCGTGCATCGCATGTACACGTGCGCATGCAACAGCAAGCACACGTGAATGTTAGGATAGTTACCTACGCCCAACGAAGTTGGAGGAGGTTATGTTTTCGCTCTCGTGTGTTCGCGCGATCGATATTAGCGCGTCGAGTCAAGCCAGCCAGCCAGCCAGCCACAGCCAGCTCCAGCAGCAGTCAGCAGCAGCCAACAGCGAGCGGCAAGCGGCAGGAATGGTGCTTACAGAAATCACAACTTTATGAAGCAATAGAATGTAGGAGGAATATAACAACACCTTTAGATAGGGTGAGAGGGTCGATCTTACATGCACTTTTAGCACAGGAGCAGATTATGTAGCTTACCTGCCAACTTGAAGGGTACCGCCAAAGGTCTAATCTGCTTGATAAAGTGGATGGGAATGCTTATTAGCTCAGATCGTGGCAATACTGCAGTGTTTCCATAGTCAATGTAAAACACTTCAGTTCTGTCTCCTGGCAGTGCCCGTATAGGGTATGCTCTGCAATAAACAGAAACAGCATAACAGAAAACAAAACGCACTCTCTGGGCAGGGTGCACGCCAGTGAGCATGATGCTATCAAGAACGTGTAAGATGAGAGAAAATATGACATGCAGGTCTGGTGAGCATGGAGCTAACAGAATTACCTGAACCACGCATCCATGTAGGGGGCAGCGCAAAATTTCACATTTTTGGGGAGAGGCTTTTCATGCAGCATATTTAGACCACGCTGCAAACTCAGTATTTCACTTATATCACCCATGGTTGTCTGTAACATTAAGAAAAACATTGAAAAGACACAACAAGCTTATTGCCTAAATATCTCAGTAATTTTATATTAATGCGCACCTTATCTAGAGTCAATATCCAATGTTAAGGAATCTGCCTTTTTGTTATATCACAGTATAGAATGCAATCAGCATTAAACCCTTGACATCTTTTTAGTACGTTGCATGCGTAACTAGTTCATAACTTATTTAAGAATACGACGAGAAAGTATAAATCTTATTAAGAGTACGAGTAGGTGAGCACATTACATAAAGATATGATAAAAAGTTCGTACTTCATGCATGATCTGTCCCCAAAAGTGACAGCCATCTTCGACATGAGTGATCACGACGGTAAAACTATATGGCAAGGTCTTCATGATCTTAGGGTCATAGTTCATATTATAACACTTCATCATGCCATAGTAGAACTCATCAAGCATAGTGTGAGGCACAGTGGTCTGTGTACTCTCTTGGTAGCCACCACTTGTAGGCTCATGTCTCCAATCTCCGGAAGATAATCTGGAGTGCCGGTGGCTATCACCTGAAGGCAATAAAAAAAGGTAAATGATGTTCATACCTCTTGTGTATACATTACGACTGTATTATTCATGAGAAAATTAAAAAATTAAGACAAACAAGACTCATTACAGTGTATTAAACAGTAACAATGTAGTACATAGATTATCACTGTAACATTACGTAAAGATTTATGTAAATTTTTTACAAGACTAGCTCTGATTAAATTTGTACATATGTGAGCAGGGTTAATGAATGGATCCATATGCATATGCTACACCCTTGTTCTGATTTCAAAACATGGCACCCATAACAAAATATGCACAGGAAATTTCCATCATAATATTGTTGCCAGAAGTACTGAAAATGTTGCTGTGGGTGAACATTGGTAAATGTGGAGAAAGGAGTGGGAAAATGGGGCACCAACTGCTACCGTATTGGAGTTGCTATAATAGGGGGTTGAGGTTGCTCAACATGCGCCGATGGACAGAAATTGTGTAGAAAGAAGCCGGAATGCACCTGTACAGTGATTCTACGAGGGGGGGCACACATACCGAATGCACCTGCACAGTGATTCTGCGAGGGGGGGTACACATTATACCGAATGATGCAGAATCACGCAGCTGCAGCTTCGAAACAGTTCCTGTCAAAGTATCGGGATCAATGCCACGTGCCGCGTAATTGGTATGGTGGCGAGGGGTAGGCAAGACATCACTGACTTCGATTATATGACCGCTGATCAACACGCCATCAATGGCCTGTTTCGCCAGGTACTTAGCCGTCGGGTCTCGAAATGTGATGACCGCAAAATACCTGCCAATGCACAAAAGCGTTTATCAAGGGACAATGCCATTCTAAGCGAGAACTCACCCATGAACTGAGCAGAACAACTATAACAAAAGCTATGATATCAGGTATCTCCAATACCAAAGGGTTTACAGATATCAGTTTTCTGGACATTAAGGTACCCTCCTCTAGCAACAGGGTTTTCCACTATAAATTTGATTTTGCAAATGTGTGTTTCGTCCACTATAGTTGACCAAACTCTCTTCATCTTATTTGCCACTGCTTAACCTCTCATGATAAACATGGGCTCGATCAATTAGTGCAGCTGATTTTAAAGTCAGAAATGAAATCTTTAACAACCCGAACACTTCCCTTTGGCTAATTCCAGTTAAAAATATATAAATATAATATATATATATATATATATATTATTTATATATAATATATATAAATATAAATTACATAAATAATACATCCAAAATATAAATTATGCACGCACGCATGTGCATACACACATTGTTACTCCTGGTCGTATTTCAACCAAGTTAGTAGTGTTGTAGTGAACACCACAGCATATATCCAAACTACATAAAGAACCACTGCAATCATCAGCACATCATTACATAATATACATGCAATCATCAGCTTAATTACACTTATAGCAACTGACATACGAAATGTTTTCACAGGTTACACACTTACATGTCTCCTGGTTGTTGAGGTCGATTAATTGTTATTGAAGTTGGATTATACTCTCGGAATAGATGTCGCAGCTGATCCTGATTAGAAGGAAAAAACATGAATATTTACTGTTGTTGGTGCCAACGTTTTCATACATGCTGACTAACAATATTATTACAAAACTACAAACTTACTAACTAAATTCTTACCTCACTTGTGCTGTCAGAAAGATTCGTACAAAACAGCAGCTGCTTTTCACTTGAATAGCTATCCTGTGGCCATAACGGGCCGGTATGCGGGCTCTCACTGACATTTAATTCCGCGTTGTGCTGCACGATCCGTTTATCAGTGGTTCCACCAGGTCTTCTACCGACGCTTTTTGTTTCCGACGTGTTGAGGTCTGAAACATGTATCGACATAGTATCCTGATTAATGCTTTCATATGTCTAGCAATTGAACAGGACAGCCAGGTCTAGACTGAAGCAGGAATATAGTTAAGAATAAATTACCCGGATAGTTGGCAATATACAGTAATGCATTCACAGGATGCGAAATTAACGGGAGTCTGGAGTCAAATACTCCCCGATTTACTGTCGGGCTCCCCGATTTTACATATGCAGGAGTCTGTGTGACTCCCTGAAAATTCTGCCATATTACCTAGTTCGTTCCAGAGCCGTAAATAAGCCAAAATACCATATTTTTTTTAGCTAATATCCAAAGAAAATTTGGCAGACGTGCAACTGCATGAATCTTAAAAATAAGCACATGCGTTATTGTTAATAACTCCCTCATTTTGCTGCGGACTCCCTCATTTTGAAGGTAAGGAGTCCGTTGGACTCCCTTGTTAAAAAGTTAATTTCTACCCGTCTTCCCATGTCAGAATTATTACGCTGTGCCCAGCACATGCATGCAAAAATGCACAACACCAACCACACAGTAATGCTTCCTATTAATGGACTCTTACTCGTTGATGGAACTACATATGGCGGAGCAGCTGACTGATGGTTGGCAGTGGAGTCAGGTGAGCATGTGAAACGAGCTGGTGTGGAATTTCTGACTCCATCCCAGTTGCAGCCAGATGCACCCGCGTTGTCCGCCTCTTCTTCGGATAATTCATCGTCACTGCTGCCGATTCTCTCCAGACCTGGAGGCCCGTCGCTATCTGTACCTATCATATGGGTGATATACCATATACCCATATACAGCGATCAAAAATTCAACGAAATATAATAAGCATCACTCGAAGTCAACGGATATTTTTCAATGCGAAATTCACTCAGCCACTTAACACTCGTGCCATCACTGTCTCTTCTACGTGCACTTTGAACGAGCAAAACAGGTCGATGGGAACGCAGTAACGACACGAGTGATGAAAACATCACACGAAAGAAATTGAACTCAAGCACTTCCAGCAAAAGCCATACAGAGGGCAATTTTGACGCACCATCATGGCTTTCGTAGTCGACTCCATTGAGACCTGTGACGACTTGTCTTGGTGCGTTTTCAGAGACCAGCTTCATGTAAGAGAAGCATGGAAGCAGATCAACTTTAACAGTACCTAATTATTAAATATGCAACCTTGTCTCAATTGTAGTTACATGCATTACCATCCTCATTAAAAATCTCTCTTCTGAAAATCTGCATTGTTATAGTGTTATTCAACATATAGTTTAATTAACTTAAAACCCCATTTACTTATTAAGCCCAGCTTATCATGGCTCTTCTGAAAAATTAGCAACTCTAATACAATTCTAGACGGCATCGTTATCAGGCACATAACACTGTTAGACTTATATCAGTTAGACGCAGTTCAAACATGAACAGGAATATGCCTAAAATTAGATACAATGACAGTGATTATAATATTAGCGTGAAATAACAGAGCTTCCAATAAAGGAAGACATTTACCTCCTGTGTTGGAGTATATTTCGTCTTGCCAATCGCAGGTGATGTTTGTGGTCTTTTGTAGTCTTTTCTATTTTCTCTATAGTTTGGCTGGCCTGTGTTAACGTTATGTGATACATTACAGCACATCAGACTGATAACACAACATATTAATGACTCTATGCCATTTATCAAGAGTAAAGAAAAACTTGGTTTAAAAAACAAAATTAAAAACATTTCTTTTATTTACTTTTTACGTTACACATCTACAATACTTGCAAACCAACAATCCACGTGTGTTAATCAATAGTAGAGGACTGACTATTTTATAACATTAGTTCCACTATTAGTAAACAAAGTCTGGGTGAAAAGATATTTTCCCAATAGCAGCTATTCGTGTATAAAACAAGTGCCGCGGAGCGACAGCGCTCATCTAACGTCTACTGCGGTGACTCTGTGGTGGAGTGGTGGGATTCTAGTAAACCCTGTTAGTCCCAAATGTGTTCACATACACGCCGAAACAGTGGAATGCACAGGGATGGTATCAGGAACCTTCTCAAAGGAATGTTCGTTGGGATCGTTATGAAAGTTGCCACGAGATGGCGCATATGTTTAAGTGTCTTCAGATTAAAGATGGAAGCTCCCATCGTACGTAGTAGCAACAACTATTTGCAAGACAGAATAGGTAAGCACTCATCCATTTACCTACGCAAGCCTACAGGCTGCAATAGAGAGCTGCCACCTGTAACCAATTAACGCAGGCAAAAACTACACAGTACCAATAACACATGCACTGGCAGTAGCCACTGGCAGTGGCATACGTTACATGTAACATACTGACAGTACAGAATGCCATAGAAATTATACGATTTAAGGAGCATAAACCTTCTTTAACCAAATTTAGCTTTTGAAATTTCACTGTGACATTGTAGCCTCATACATCCAGGCATGTATAGATTCTACTAGCAAACCCGGCAGTCAAATTCTTTCTAACAGACAGTCAACAAATCCATGTTTAACCCTCCTCTTGAGGGTCAAAAGGTTATCTGACACTTACTCTTCGCATGTCAGCAGAAGGTAGATTTCATGGTCCTTTCAATAATGCCATAAAAATGCTAGGTCACCGCTGAAACAAAAAAGTTTTTCAATTGCTCCGTCAGACCATGTCCTCAGAAAATGTCTAAAATCTGCCCTGTGCCCATTGACCTTTGACCTGTGACCTCCAATTTCGGCACAGTGATGGCTTTTCCTACCATGATGCTATACACCGACTATCACGAGCCTAGGTCGAGCCGTTTAGATTTGTGCCGCAATTCTGCATTTCCTCCCTATACCTTAAGTTAAGGAGTGAATGTTCCCCCTTCTTTTACACCTCTTGACCTTTGACCTTTGACCCCCAGCTTCGACATCCCAACTCGTTTTGACGATCCCCCCCAATGTGCCGAATATCGTGACCGTACGTCGAGCGGTTAAGATTTGTGCCCAACTGTTGACAGACGCACGGACGGACGGACGGACGGACGGACGATCAAGCGATTCTACAAGCTGCATCTGACTATGTCAGATGAGCTAATAAAATGGTAGGCACTGTTATCATATCTCAATTCATTAGGCACAGTATAGTTACAAAGAAAATTTAATATTAAAAAGGTGACTCTTTTTGATTGTAAATGAGTGAATTACGAGTACATGAAGATGCCATGATGACAATTATAGACCTACTTTGCAGACGATATGTCAAAACCATACCTTGTTGCCGTTCATGTCCTTTGGAGACTATATAATTTGAACCCAATATATTCAAAGCAGCTTCAGCTTCAGCCACGGTGCCATATCTCACAAACACATAGCTGAAACAACCAGGATAGATACGCTGTATTAATTAAAGGTACACATTGAAGATGCAATTTGACAGTGTAATGTGCGATGTTCAGGACAGGTTCCAAAGTTATACCATTATTCAAAAAGGTGCAGATGCCATGCGTGCTGTTAGACAGCTCATGGCTGTTGATAGATGTGTCATGTATGCTGACAGAAACGCCATGGGTGCTGTTCGACGCGTCACTGTAACCGTGCTAGTACAGGTTGTGTGTCATTTCCAGATACCAAGAGCAGCTGTCACCAGGCTAGCATGGCTGAGCCACCACGACTCAGTTATCTTTGCCTCCATGATCAGGCCTGTGGGTCCTAGCCCCATGGGAAACCATGTATAACACACGACATGCTCGGTTACTCCCAAACATCGTGTAACATACAGGTTTCAAATACTGGCATGTTCCTACTACCTATAGTGTTTTATTGAATGTGGGTATTATCTATACACAGAAATCTTATCTGTGCCCCATAGATCAATGAATTGACTTGTGCATCTGTGCTTCGTTTACGTCATAGTTGCAACCCATGTCAGAGTGCTGTCACCAGTGGCGTAGTTAGAGGGGGGGCAAAAGGGGCCATGGCTCCCCTGTTAATCCGAAAGTAAAAAAAAATAAAAATAAAAGAATTGTTATACTAACAAGAGCCGCAGAGCGTCTGGGCTCATCTGAGGTCTGTTGCTACGATTATAAACGTAAAATTTCAGTCGTGCGTAGTACCACATTTGTTAGGCGCAGATATGCAGGGTGTGGGTGGAGGGTGGGGGGAGGGGGCTCTAATAGCAAAAGCAGTTCACTCCTTTGTTAACAGTCAACAAATCCATGTTTAACCCTCCTCTTGAGGGTCACAAAGGTTACCACACTTACTCTTCGCATGTCAGCAGAAGGGACATTTCATGGTCCTTTCAATAAAGCCAATAAAAATGCTAGGTCACCGCTGAAACAAAAAAGTTTTTCAATCGCTCCGTCAGACCATGTCCTCAGAAAATGTCTAAAATCTGCCCTGTGCCCATTGACCTTTGACCTGACCTCCAATTTCGGCACAGTGATGGCTTTTCCTACCATGATGCTATACACGACTATCACGAGCCTAGGTCGAGCCGTTTAGATTTGTGCGCAATTCTGCATTTCCCCGTATACCTTAAGTTAAGAGTGAATGTTCCCCCTTATTTTACACCTCTTGACCTTTGACCTTTGACCCCCAGCTTCGACATCCCAACTCGTTTTCGATTACCCCCCACGTCCCGAATATCGTGACCGTACGTCGAGCGGTTAAGATTTGTGCCCAACTGTTGACGGACGGACGCACGGACGGACGCACAGACGGACGCACGGACGCACGGACGATCATGCGATTCTACAAGCTGCATCTGACTATGTCAGATGAGCTAAAAAGAGAATTGTCGTAGTCGTAGTCGTCGTCGTACTCAAACGTGCCTCAAATACCATCTCCTGCGATCTACATTTTCAAAATTTTCTGGGAGATGACCACCATACCCCACGCCTGTTTTTCACCACCCTCCGTGGAATCCTGAATCCGCCACTGAACAGTTAGTGTTACATATCTTGGGATCAGAGAACAATGAACAAAAATGTCGCCTCTTTGCATGGCGCCCAAAACAAAGATTGCAGAGCCGAGAGGTGGGAGAGCGCAGGGTGTGGAAAGGGAGGCAGAGGAACCATTAAAATATTAAGTCATCCACTATTTTGCGCAGTTCGCTGTTTTTGGCCCCCCTGTTAAAAAATCCTGGCTACGCCACTGGCTGTCACCATTTTGACAGTATTTCGATAAAGACTACAACACACACCTCTGTCAGTCATGAAACAATAGAACACCATGGAAGTAATGGTGGTATACTGATCCCACGTGAGCTCCCAGCCTCCCACTTTATTGCAGCCATAATGTGTAAACGCACAACAGTATCACCATTAGCCTTCCATAATCATGTCTTGGTTAGTTTAAGGCATACAAGTTTTTTCGATAGTCGGACACATGACCAGATGTACAAATACTGGTGATTAAACTACTTTTGTATTACTGCATTCTATGCTAGAAAGTACCCATTTTTTAGACGCTAACAGCATTAACACATCTACTGGTTGTGTGCAAACAAAAAGGCCACTATCGAGTATAACAAACCCAGTCTGGTGGCAAATAAATTATTGTCAGAAACATCCTAAAGATATGGGTAAAGTTTATAATATTAGAATACGTTTGACTGATGTTAAAGCTGCTTTCCCCTGATATCCACAATGTCTCGACTAAAAGTAGTGTTCAACACAAACATATTGTGCATACAAATATTTTCATCAGATAGATCCAACATAAAAGCTTTCGTGTTCAAACCTTGCATTCTCACGTTTACATCTGCCTAAGCATTCCACGCTTTTTTGCGTTATATTGACATAAGGCTCTGCGTGACTCGACTTCTATGCATATAAATCTGAGGGTCGTTAGAGCATGCAATGTAGTACAAATTAATCCACAACTCATATAACTTTGCTTTTGCTATTATCTATTAAGGAAAGGAAGTTTGAGAAAAATGTTATTATTTTCTAAATGCTAGTTTATCATGAGGTTTTCTTAAAAAGCGGTTAATTTCGTTGTTGTACAAAACTACTATCCAGAACTAAACTAAATTTTTTGAACAAACGATCATGATTTTCAACATTTTTATGTTGTAATCAAAAACTGGTAGTTTGTCTACAATCACTTATGACAGCTTTTCTTCGGAAAAATGCAGTTTTAAGATACGAGAATAGTGTTGAGAGAAACATATCAGAACTACAAGCAAACTTACGATAACAGTAATTTGCTGTCACAAGGCTGCTGATGGGTTAAGAATCAACCACAAAACTCAAATTCAAATACATTTATACTGCATGACTGGAAGACATGCATCTTAATTATAATAGTAAAGTCCAGTACACAAGGACGATATGTGGTCACCCGGCCCTCACGTGCAACTGCTCTATCGCTCAGCATCAGTTTCCACTGAGCGATCGAACATATCGCTATCACAACGCAGTTGCAGTGAGTAGCACACGGGCAACTTTTGGTTGCATGCAACGATCTCACAGGTGCCAGAAAACTACTGTATATGCATGGCCAGTTATTCACTCTGAGGCTGATACACCTACCTTTGAATTTGGTTTATTTCACGTATGTTGCCAACGGTGCAAAAATCACTCCTGATTTCATCCACAGTAATGGGTGTAGAGCAGGTAATGCAAACGGTATACAATCCCTTCATGTTCGGGTACCAAACATCCATGTCTGTGCCATGCGCTTTCTGTTTTGCCATGTTGTCATCTGCCCTGGGCGCATTTGGTGTGGCTGTTCTTACACTGCCTATTTTCATGCATGAAACACAAAATGAAATGATAAGTTTGCATTAGTAACTGAGAACAATATAGCAAATGCACTAACAGGACACCCATAATCATAGTAGAACACCCACATTAATTCATGCAGGGCCATCTTCAAAATTCTTATAGGAAATAAACTCCCTACTCAGAATATCGGATAACATTTAAGCACAAGTTTGTTAAAATCAATCACGGTACATACCGTTAGTTTGTTTTCCCATTTGACGTTGCAAATAGGAAATGGGTTTCTGACCTATTTCCTATTTTTAAAATGAAAATAGAAAATAGGAAATGGGTTTCTGATCTGTTAGTTTGTTTTCCCATTTGACGTTGCAAATAGGAAATGGGTTTCTGACCTATTTCCTATTTTTAAGCTGAAAATCGAAAATAGGAAATAGGAAATGGGTTTCTGACCTATTTCCTATTTTTAAGCTGAAAATCGAAAATGGGAAATAGGAAATGGGTTTCGGAAGCCCGTTTCCTCATTTGAGTTCTTACCACGCAAATTCAGACGAAGCAATGGCATTTGGCTACAAGGATTCGGACGACACGATGCGCGCTCGGGAACAGTACAAGCTCAAGATGGCTGCTCCGTCGTTTCCGTTGTGTAACGGTTATTGCAAAGTGTTCTTACGTCTTTCTTTGATAGCACGCTCGAGCT